CAGCTGGGTCTCAGCCCATCTCTTGTCTCAAATGTCCAGTACACCAACCCTGCAGCCCCCCAGACCCTTAAAGCCTCCATCTTCATGCCTTAGCTCATGCTGGTCTCTCTACCTCAAAGCCCTCTTTCTCTCTTCTCTGCTAGACAACACCTTACTAATTCCCCAGATCCCTCTGTCCACCCTGTACTTACAGCTATATAATAATTAGCTAAGGTTTTCAAGTGCTTTTCAAAGCACTTTACAGGCACCATTTCATCTTATCCCCTGACTAACCCTGTAAGTAATGTACTATTCACACCATTTCACAGATAAGCCACTGGAGGTGCCCAGAGGTGAGGAAACATGCTCATGCTCACAGCTGGTTATATAGCAGTGTCAGAATCCAAACAGACGCTTTGGAAGACGAAGCTCGAGCAACAGACCAGCAACCTTCAATCTGCCTGTATTGGCTCCCAGTCACATGTTCACCTGATTCCGGACGCCATCCAGACTTGGTACAGGGGTGAATCCAAAGGTCACTTTTAAATGAAGGAATGACAGCGAATTTATGTCCATTTTCCAGATGAGGAAACTGAGGCTCAGGGAATAAAATGACTTTCCTAAGAAAACACTATCTTGCACTTCAGGCGAGATCTTTACGGAACAGTAGAGATACTGATGAAATAAATCATAAGATCTAAAGGAAAGAAAACAAGAATTTGAAACCTGCAAATTCAGTTGTATGCATTAAAACTTTGATAAAATATTTGTAGTTTTTTTTTTTTTTTAAAGCCTTAGAAGTGACATGTTTAAAGTTGTTTTGCATTCGTTTTCTCATCTGATCCCCTCACCCATTAGTCAGGTGGTCAGTCAGAGAAAAACACAGAACCCATTTTACAGAGGAGTAGACTGAACCCCAAAGGCCCAGATCCTAAGGCCTCTCTGTGCTCCTTTTCAGATGCGGCACAATCAGCACTCAGCACCACAGAATTGCTCTAGGGGACCTGACGCAGTGAACCCAATTAAATTTGCTTTCTAAATGTACTGGATAAAATGGCAGACAGGACAAGAACCATGTCAGCTCCAGGGAGCGACGAAAACCAGGTATCTTTGCCTCTAATAGACACTTTAAAACACAGAAACCATGACTTTTCTTTTTTCTTTTTTTTTTTTAAGATAAGCTTCACTCTGTCATCCAGGCTGGAGTGCAAAGGCATGATCTTGGCTCACTGCAACCTCCGCCTCCTGGGTTCAAGCTATTTTCCAGCTTCTTTAGCCTCCAAGCAGCTGGGACTACAGGCACTCGGCCACCGTGCCTGGCTAATTTTTGTATTTTTAGTAGACCAGGTTTCACCGTGTTAGCCAGGATGGTCTCGAACTTGACCTCAGATGATCCACCCGCCTTGGCTCTCCCAAAATGCTGGGATTACAGGCTTGGCTTGTACTGTGCCTGGCCTGTTTTCTTAGTCTCTTCTTTGTTCTTTTCTTTCTTTCCTTTCCTTCCACCCCTCTCTTCCTCCCCATTTCTTCTCCAAAAATATTCACCAAAACGCTTGTCCACCTAGGCTGTAAACCCACCACCTTGGGTGGTTCTCTCAATCCTGGCTGTACGTCTGTGAATCCCTGGGGAGATTTAAACTCCTGATCCCAGGTTGCACCTGCACAAATCAGGCCATCAGAAACTCTGGGGGTGGAGAATGGCACAGTGTCTTAAAACTCCCATCCCCAGGGGTTCCCCTGGGCAGCTGGGACTGAGAGCCGCTGACCTTGGAGTTTTCAGCCTGAATGAGACCCAGCCCTGACTTCAGAGAGGCCCCAGCCTCCATCGCCTCTTTCTTCTTTTCTTCCATTTCTCCATTTCTCCTCCTTTCTCCCTTTTCAATTTCCTCTTGTTCTCAAAGAGAAAAAGAGTAGGAAAGAGATTCCCGCCTCGGCCTGCCATCCTCTGGGCCTGCCGCCACGGGCAGCTGGGCAAAGCCATTTCCACGTCCTAACTGGAGCCATCTCTGAAGGCAGCGGGCGACGCTCTGGCAAGGTCACTGATAATGTTACACCAAAACCATGACCAGGAAACCCCAACAGCTCCCCAGATGCTTTGCTTCACAAAGACAGCTGTCCTTAACCACCCTGGTGTTTCACCCAGCTCAGGCGTGGCAGACAGTGAACATCAAACAATAAATTTAGGTATAGATTGCAGCCCTGGTCTCTATGTAACGCCTGTAAAAGGAATAGCTGCTGTTGAGAGCACATAATGATAATTTAAATGCTGTAATTTCCAAACATGTGATGCATTTTTTTGTCCATTATTGTTCCATTTATATAGTTAGGGCAACCTGAGGAGGTGATGCAGGCATTAAACGCTGCAGATGACTAGATCTCAAGTCAACACCTTCAACTGGTGATTGACTAAAAGCTTCCGGCGCCGGTCTTAGTTTCAGATGCAAATCTCAGAATACACAAATTGCAAAAAAGTCCATTAACAATGGTCATGACCAAGCCACTACATGTTCAGGAGAAGGCTGGATCCATTAATATCTTCCATTTCATTCAATATCAAGGGAAGGGGTTGATCTGGGGATACAAGGCTTTTAGGAATAGGCTGCTGAGGCTTGAGTTTCTTTCCAGACCTTAGGTGACCCTTGTGATGGCATCTGTGGCCCTTCCAGGAATTTCTCTGTGGCATTGCCCACATTGCTTCCTTTCGGATGTAAGCTTTCCCAGTTTTATAAAACACGGAGTGGAACCCAGGGCCATCGCACTCCGGGACATCTAAGCTAGGTGCAGTCTGCCGAGGGACGTGTGACTTAGCTGGTGAGGCCTGATGTGTGTGTGGCATGTGTGTGTGTGGTGTGTGGGGTGTGTGTGGTGTGTGTATAGTGTCATGTGGCATGTGTAGTGTGTGTGTGCTGGGTGTGGTGTGTGTGTGTGTGCACGGTGTGTGTGTGGTGTGTGCAGTCAGCGTGGTGTGTGTGGGAGGTGCATGTATGGTGTGTGGTGTGTGTGGTGTATGGATGTGTGGTGTGTGTTAGGGGGTGTGGTGTGTGTGTGGGTGTGTGTGGTGTGTGTAGTGTCGTGTGTTGTGTGTGTTGTGTGTGTGTTAGGTGTGTGGTGTGTGTAGTGTTGTGTGGTGTGTGTGTGGTGTTAGGTTGTGTGGTATGTGTAGCATTGTGTAGTGTGTGTGGTGTGTGTGTGTGTGTATGTGTATGGTGTGTGTAGTGTCATGTGTTATGTGTGTGTTGTGTGTGTGTTAGGCGTGGTGTGGTGTGTAGTGTTGTGTGTGGTGTGTGTTAGTGTGTGGTACTGTGCATTGTGTAGTGTGTGTGGTGTGTGTGTGGGTGTGTGTGTGTAGTGTTGTGTGGTGTGTGTGTGTTAGGGTGTGTGGTATGTGTAGCATTGTGTAGTGTGTGTGGTGTGTGTGGGTGTATGTGTGTGGTGTGTGTAGTGTTGTGTGGTGTGTGTGTGGTGTGTGTTAGGTTGTGTGGTATGTGTAGCATTGTGTAGTGTGTGTGGTGTGTGTGTGGTGTATGTGTGTGTGTGTGTAGTGTTGTGGTGTGTGTGTGTTAGGGCGGTGGTGTGTGTCGCGTGTGGTGTGTGTGTGTAGTGTTGTGTGGTGTGTGTGTGTTAGGGCGTGTGGTGTGTGTCATGCGTGGTGTGTGTAGTGTTGTGTGTGTGTGTGGTGTGTGTTAGGGTGTGTAGCATTGTGTAGTGTGTGTGGGTGTGTGTGGGTGTATGTGTGTGGTGTGTGTAGTGTTGTGTGTGTGTGTGGTGTGCTAGTGTGTGGTATGTGCAGAGCTGTAGTGTGTGTGGTGTGTGTGTGGGTGTATGTGTGTGGTGTGTAGTGTTGTGTGGTGTGTGTGTGGTGTGTGTTAGGGTGTGTGGTATGTGTAGCATTGTGTAGTGTGTGTGGTGTGTGTGTGGGTGTGTGTGTGGTGTGTGTAGTGTTGTGTGGTGTGTGTGTTAGGCTTGTGGTGTGTGGGTCATGTGTGTGTAGTCCTCCCTCCCTCCCTCCCTCCCTCCCTTCCTTCCTTCCCTTCCCTCCTTCCCTTCCCTTCCTTCCTTCCTTCCCTTCCCTCCTTCCCTTCCCTCCCTTCCTTCCTTCCCTTCCCTCCCTTCCCTCCCATTCCCTTCCCTCCCCTCCCCTCCCCTCCCCTTCCTTTGTCTTCCCTTCTGTTGCCTTCTCTTCCTTCCCTTTCCTCCCCTTCCTTCCCTTCCCTTCCCTTCCCTCCCTTCCTCCCTTTCTCCCTTTCTCCCTTTCTCTCTCTTTCTTTCTCTCTTTCTCTCTTTCTTTCTCTTCCTTCCTTCCTTCCTTCCCTCCCTCCTTCCTTCCTTCCTTCTTTCCTTCCTTCCTTCCTTCCTTCCTTCCTTCCTTCCTTCCTTCCTTCCTTCCTTCCTTCCTTCCTTCCTTCCTTCCCTCTCTTTCTCTCTCTTTCCATGCCACCCCTCTCAACAGGGTTTTGCTCTGTCACCCAGGCTAAAGGGCAGAGGCATAATCACAGCTCGAACTCCTGGGCTCCAGCAATCCTCCTGTCTCAGCCTCCTGAGTAGCTAGGACTACAGGCATGTCCCACCACACCCAGCTAATTTTTATGTTTATTGTTACTTTTTAGAGATGGCGTCTCACTGTAGTGCCCAGTCTGCTATCAAACTCATGGGCTCAAATGATCCTCCCACCTCAGCCTCCCAAAGCACTAGGATTACAGGCACGAGCTGCTACACCCAGCCAAATGTTCTTTTGCACCAGGCTACATACACTCCCCTTCACTGGAGTTCACACCACTCCCAATGTCTCACACCCAGCTTATCTCACTCGTTTACATTATGGGCCAGGTTTCTGAAGGCACCTGAGTCTGTGATCCCACTGACGGCTATAAAATGACATTTGTGAGCAATGCTCGTGAATTGGTGGGGTAGGGGGAGTCCAGATTCTACATTAAACAGCTCCACTGCACACACCCAAAAAAGATCCCTAGAAGGGATTTGCCACCCAGGGACCTAGGGGAAGGACACAAGACCACTCTTACTTTTCTCACAAAATGGGGGGTCGCTGCTCCAGCTGAGGTCCCACTGGCAGGTGAGGGTGTCACTGCCCACGATGTCGTAGCCGGGGTCACACTGGTAGGTGATTCTGGCTCCCCGCACCAGCTCCGTGTGAGAAGTGGTTTTCCAGCCATTCTGGATCTCGGGTAAATCCGAGCAGGAGTCATTCCTTGACACCTCTTTAAAAGAGAAACGTCAGCCTTAGATGGGGGAAGCGGTCTTATTGTTGGGGCCTCGTTTTGTGAAGGCTAGAGGGATGAGCAAAGAGAAGAAAAAGCCTCTAGAAATGACCAACACGCTTCCAAAATCACTTAACTGGCAAGAGCTCGTCGATAGTGAAGCTTTATGGTTACCTCTCTCTGTGGGCCACTGAACTCAGACAACTGAACATTGTCTTGGTTTGATAAAACCAGTCTAGGATTTCGAGTCAGACAGAATCCTAGCTCTGCCACTTACTAACGGTGTGATGGGGAGACAATCGCTTTTTGACTCTGCAGCTCAGGTTCCTTGACCTTTCATGAGGGAGTAATTATAACGGCATCTGCCTCACTGTGGCCGCTGCTCACCAGATGTCACTGGATGACTCTCGCCTCCGAGGGTTTACACTCTTTTAAATTTTTTTATTTTTGTTTTTTATTTTATTTTTGTTTTTCATTTATTATTATTATTGTCATCATCGTTATTTTTACAGGCAGGGTCTCTGTTGCTCAGGCTAGAGTGCAAGGGTATGATCATAGCTCTCCACAGCCTCAAACTCCTGGGCTCAAGTGATCCTCCCACCTCAGCCTCCTAAGCAGCTGGGACGACAGTCATGTACCATCATGGCCTGGCTAATTTTTAAAAGTTTTTCTGTAGAGATGAGGTCTTGCTATGTTGTCTGGGCTTGTCTTGAAGCCTTGGGCTCAAGCAATCCTACTGCGTGGGCCTCCCAAAATGTTGAGATTACAGGCATGAGCCACTGTACCCGGCAGAATTTACACTCTTGTGTAGTCCTCACCAACACTGAATAGGAGATTGGAAAAGTGGTCCTGGGTGGCTTCCGAGGTTAGGTCATAACCACATTGAGGTTCTCTCCTTGCTCTCTGTTGAATCACTCGTTTCAGCAGAAGCAGCTGCCATATTGTGAGGATGCTCAAGCAGCCCTCCAGAGAGACCCACAGGAAGAGAAACTGAGGTCTTCTATCAACAGTTGGCATTGACGTGCCAGCCACATGTGTGAGCCGTTTGGAAGTTCATCATCCAGTGCTCATCAAGCCTTCAGATGACTGCAGCTCTGCCTGGCATCTTGACTGGAGCCTCATGAGAGACCCCAGGGCAAAGCCATCCAACTCATGCTACTCCTGAATTTCTAACCCAGAAAAACTGCAAGATGATAAATGTTTACTGCTAATTTGGGGTATACTCTATGACACAGCAATAGGTGATTAATATGCTCAGCTTCATCCTAAGAATACCTAAAAATCCATGAGTTTGGTGAATAAATAATGTATGCATTTTTAATATTCATTAAGAAAAATAATTAGCTATCAAAATAAAAACAAGCTGGGCACAGTGGCTCCTGCCTGTAATCTTAGCACTTTGGGAAGCCAAGGCAGGAGGATTGCTTGAGCCCAGGAGTTAGAGATCAGTTTGGACAATATAGAGAGACCCCTTCATCTCTACAAAAACAATAACAAAACTAAAAAATGAGCCAGGTATGATGGCAAGTGTCTGTAGTCCCAGCTACTCAGGAGGCTGAGGTGGGAGAATTGCTTGAATCCAGGAGTTTAAGACTGCAGTGAGCCATGAAGGCATCCCTGCACTCCAGGCTGGGTGACAGAGTGAGACCCTGTCTCAAAAAAAAGAAAAAAAAAAAAAAAACCAATTTGAACAAAAATAAATAAAAATAAACCGTTGGTATATTCTTCAAATCCAATTGCATATCATTAGTGAACATGAAGCATACTCCAGAAAATGCTACCCGCAGCTTATTACTGTGTCTTTCTCTGTAATTGTTCTGTTTTTCTCCTACAAACTCTTGTTACTAAGGTAGCAATGCATGGCAAACTATTACTATTCTTGCTTCAAAGTGCCCACTGCACAGATTTGGAGGAGCGAGCTAATTATGTTGTATAATTAATTTGCAGTTCTTATGTGCTTCTGGGGAACGCAGAGCACCTCCGCCGTCTGCAGGGAAGTCATTCTGAGAACCAAGCAATGGCTTTTCCCGGGATTTCATCATGATTTTATTTGGGGAAAGGAGATCTCATGGGTGTCTGCAAGAAGAAGGGTAAGAAAATAGCTTCGAGAATTGCTTGGTGGGGGGACAGGAGCCTCTATTTTTAGGCCTCTGAAAAAATCAGCCAAGCCCTGGATTTGGGACACAGCTGCAGATGCTCAGACTGTGGATGAAAGGGGAGAAATGGGAGCAGACATCAGAAATGTGGTCTGCCTTGAGCCAAATGCTTTGAGACGGAGAAAGGCTTGCTTGTCTGACTTTTCAATATGGGCCACCACGGCTTCACGCTCCTGTGGGACCTCCTGTCTCCTTGGTGGCACCCAGTGCATTTGTAATTTCTCAGTTGCTGCCACGATGTAGAAGAAGCTTAGCTTAAATCTTGTCCCCACTGTTTACTAACTGGGTGGCCTTGGCTAAGTCACTTAACCTTCCTGTTCTTCAGATCCCGGGGCCTGTACCCCAGGGACCCTGATTCAGGAACACGCATTTTTACCAAGCACCCTAAGTAGAGGTTTCTAGAATGGTCCATCCCCATGGGCTCTTGTTAACTTTGCTAAGAATTAAAAAACTGCCCTATAACCTTCTTGTTCTTCGGATTCCAGGGCCTGCACCCCAGAGACACTGGTTCAGGAACATGCATTTTTTTACCAAACACCCTAAGTGGAGGTTCTGGAATTGTCTGTTCCCATGGGCCCTTGTTAACTTTAGTAAGAATTAGAAAACTGCCCTAGGAGTTGGAAGACTTCTTTTCTAGTCTTCTTTCTTTTTTAAGGAAATGGTGTGACTCCAGTCATGCCCATTAACTGCTCTGAGCCTCATTGTTCTCATCTGCAGAGTGGAGTCAATAATTATTGCATTGCCTATTCCAATGGGCAATGTGAAAGTTAAGTAACATGCAGGATATGATGATGTTGTGTGAACACTAAGATGTGTTAGATGGATTCATTTGTTTGTTTGACTGAGATATTATGAGCATCTTATTAGACGCTAGAAATACAGGGATGTGAAGTCATAGTTTCAGTCTCATGGTCAAGATTAGCACCAAGGTTCAATTTTTGTGCAAAAGAAAAGCACAAATGCACTGAATACACACCACCATCTACCATTTCATGCTCATGGCAGACATCACTAATCAAGCACTGCCTTCTGTTTGTTTGAATCAAGCGGAAACCTCCCAATCCTCAAAACAGCACTCCAGGGAGCCACTGTCATTTGATTGGAGTTGACTTACAATATGGAGCTTAGTTATTATCCTAGACTCAGAGGAATAAACACACAACAAATAACCAAAGTCTTCTCAAAAAGCACTGCTTACTTGCCTCTGTTTCTTAATCCCTTCCATCCCATACATTTGGCCATAGACAGTGGGCAAAGAACAGGAAACAGTGAATGGGTCTTTGCATCTCTCTGTTCAAAGGTGAATTCTGGGAGGTAGAATTCACATTCCAGAACCATGTAGGCCCAGAGTCTTCCTGTGGAAGGCTCTAATTGCAATCATAGCAGATAAACTTTGGCCACCTTCCAGAGCTGGGCTTAGGCATTTAGGTCAATATAGGAGCTTCAGAATTCTCTAGTGACCACAGGAACCCCTGACCCTACCATCTGATGCATCCATTGAATGGGAGTTACATATGTGTATGGTAAAATCTAGATCCAGAATGGCAAATACCCTTCTCATGCCCATGGCAGGCATCACTAATCAATCATGACATTCTTTACCATAGACTTTAGGCATGACCTCCTTGGAGTTCTTTCAACATGGTCTTCAACATAAGTAGTAAGCAACTGAGTGGCATCACAATTAGCTAGAACGGTCTATTTGCCATTCTTGTAAAATTAACTGTGTGTCTCTTTAACAGGAATAATAATCAAGAGCTGTTCTCTCTTCTTTTGTTATCCAAACTAGCCAAGCTGTGTATCCTTGAAAAACATTCTCTGCAATCCTTTGCCTGCCTCCTCCCCAGCATCAGCTTGTGATCCTGATATTGTCTATTAATGGGACTGCCTTTCTCGTTTCCACTAATGCCTTAAGGGTAGGGAGAATATTCTATTCATCTCTATATCCTGGTATGCAGAGCCTACCACATAGGAGGTGTCAAGGGATTTTTTTATGAACCAAATCCTCTGGAAAATAGAGATAATGCATTTGAAGATAAAATAAAATAATATATGTTAAAGTGCTTGCCGACTGTAAGTTGTCACACAAATCACAAAAGGTTTCAACTTCAATTAACAAGAACACTTCTTCTTCAAGACAGTGAACACTGGCCAGACTTTCTGGCTAACCTTGATCAGCCTTGGATAGAGTCAGAGTCAGATTTTTTTTTTTTTTTTGGCATCAATCTGAATGCAGGCTTGGAATACTGACTTGGGCACTAGGGGAGATAAATGAGCAAAACCATGACCTCATCTTTCAGTGGAGAGGGAGAGGACATCTAAGGAGAGAGACAGGAGCCAGGAGACCAGAGATTCCTCCAAAGGCAGCTGAGTCTGGAGGGTATATTGCCTGGACAGCCAACAGGAGTTATCCCCTGAAGCCCAGGGCACTGCCCAGAAAAGAGCAGGGAACCCACACAAAATTGTAGCAATAACATTCTGAAAATATTTAGCAGCACAATCAAAGGTAAAAAGGCCCCTGGGAAACATAAAAAAGAAGATCAATACTCGTGTTAGCCTCTCTGAGAGGAGGACATGTAGCAGGCAGGGATGAAAAATGTTCGCCATATGGAAATAAAAACACAAGGAATGTACTTTGGCATGCATGAGGCTTCTTGAGACAGCCCATGGTCAAGGGGGTAGCTTGGTTTTTAGGTGCAAGTGCTGGTACAGAGGACAATTCATATTATTAGGTTGGCACAGAACTAATTGCAGTTTTTGCAAATGAAAACTCCAAAAACCGTAATCACTTCTGCACCAACCTAGTTAGAGATGGACAATTCTTTTTTGTTTTCTTTTCTTTCCTTTTCTTTTCTTTATTCTTTTTTTTTTTTTTTTTTTTTTTTTTTTTTTGAGACAGAGTCTCGCTCTGTCACCCAGGCAGGAGTGCAGTGGCACAATCTCGGCTCACTGCAACCTCTGCCTCCCAGGTTCACACCATTCTCCTGCCTCAGCCTCCTGAGTAGCTGGGACTACAGGCGCCTGCCACCACGCCCAGCTAATATATATATATATATTTTTAGTAGAGACAGGGTTTCACCGCATTAACCAGGATGGTCTCGATCTCCTGACCTTGTGATCCGCCCACCTCAGCCTCTCAAAGTGCTGGGATTACAGGCGCGAGCCACCGCGCCAGGCCTAGATGGACAATTCTTTAAGTGAAGGGGGAGAAAGAACCAAAGACATGGAATCTTGCTCCAACCACAGGGTCTTTGGTGGTAGTGGTGGTGGCAGAGGGCTGGGTAGGATGAATTCTCCTTTTCTCTGCTCCATCCTGGAAATCAAGATGCCAGTCGAATTCCTGGGAAGTGCAAGCATGTTTCCTAATCACTGGCCGAATCCTGCCCATTGAAATTCTTGGGGTGCAACCACCCACCCATTCTTCTGGATGTCAAAGGATGCTACGTCTTAATTACCCTCTGTGTCTCCCAGGTTCTCCGCTGCTGCCCAAAATGTTGGGGGTGAAGGAAGCTTTGGAGCTGGGAATGAGGAAGCGTGGATGGGAGCTCAGCTCTGCCCCTAATGAGAAACCCTTCATCCTTGCTTGCCCAGGGTTTCTTCTGCTGGGACACAACAGGGCTCGACCAGTTCCTCTGTTGGTGCAAGTCTCTTCTGGGGCTGGGATGAGTGGGACTTCATGGTGTCCCAGTCCTCTGACATCTGGGAATGTTGGTAGTTTGGACTAGAGTGGTGACCATAGAAAGATGGGGACACGTGCTTGGATTTGAGACCTATTGTAACGGTGGAGCTGAGAGGATGGATTGGATATGGGGGCAAGGAAGGAGGAAGCAGCCTGAGAAACCAGGAGATCTGCGGTCTCATTTCCTAGGATTGACAGACAGCAGGGGATGCAGTTGAGTGGTGGTGGTGGTGGGCAGGAGAAGAATCCCAGCACTTTGGGAGGCCGAGATGGGCGGACTACGAGGTCAGGAGATCGAGACCATCCTGGCTAACATGGTGAAACCCCGTCTCTACTAAAAAATACACACACACACACACACACACACACAAAGAAATCATTCTGTTTGGCCATGTTAAATCTGACATGTCTACTGGATGGAGGCAAGGGAGGAGTTGGCAGGGAGCTGGATAGATGGATTTGGAGTTTAAGGTCAAGGTTGTAAGTACGAACCAGTCAATGGATATTGGTACTGTTTAAATCCATCGGACCAGATGAGGGCATGGAGGGACTGAGTCTAGCTGGAAAAGAAGATACAGTCCAGGATGGAGCCTGGGACCCTCTGGTGTTTAAAGGTTGAACAGGAGTGGGGGATAGAGCCAATAATGAATGAGGGAGAGTTACAGGGTGGGAAATGAGAAGGGAAGAGTGTGATTGGATGAAAGCACAGGAGGGGTTATGGGAGTGTGTGAGCTTAGCTTGAATTTGATAGCAGGTGTTTGTTTGTTTGTTTTAGGATGAGCGGGAGAGACGGTTTGGAGGCCACGTTGAGGATCAGGAAAGACATCTCTTGCATCTACAGCTTCTAGAGTACATGAAGTGGGAGAGGAAGACTGTCCTTGTTCAACGTGGCTACAGGAAAAGAAGAGGCCTTAGAGGAGAGCTGAGCTTCAGTTCGGGCGAGAAGGTGAAGACAATGTTTGAGAAGTTGCACAAATTAGGAAGCAATGAGGAAGTATGCTGATATAAGATCTCAGCTGACCACAAATGAAACATGAGGACAACAGGATCTCAGCTGACTGCACATGAAACATAAGTTATGAGGCACTGTTTACTAAATCCTGATATCAACCCTTGTGGAATAGGTATCACTATTCCCACCTTACAGATGACAAAAAGAAGACTCAGAGAGGTTCAGTAACTTTCCCAAAGCCACACAGACCTCGATGACCGTGCTGGGGCTCAAACCCTGGTCCTGAGAGAGCCCAGGCTCTTAAACATGACTGTGCCAACACAATGAAAAATCAGTGTAGTACAAAATTGCCAAATAACCTAGAGGAAACCACCTTAACCTGCATCTAAACACAAAGAAAAAATAAATTGACCAGATGAGACACCTACCTATGTAGTTCATGATGAATCCCTGGCCCTTTCCAAAGATGAGGCCAGCAGGGTCCGAATGGAACTGGATGGTTAAGTCTGGCGTGGAGGAGTACAGCTTCTGGGGGCCACTGTTCCCAAGGTACTGCCCCAAGATGTGGGGCATGACCTCGTCGCCATCGTAGATGGTCAAGATGTCACTGTTGCTCAGATTCAGGCTTGGAGGACAGAGAAGAGGGAGAGTCATGTGAAACAGAGTATGGGACTTCAATAAGCCCATGATTAACTTTTTCAGGCGATACACAATTTCTTAAGTGTGTATGTGTCAGGCCCCAGACTAGTTGTCTTACCCCCAGGCTGAGGGTAAGATTAGCATAGACTGCAACTGTGACACAGAGATTTGTAAGTCATTTTTTTTGAGACAGAGTCTCACTCTGTCACCCAGGCTAGAGTGCGGTGGCACAATCTCAGCTCACTGCAACCTCCGCCTCCAAGGTTCAAGCAATTCTCCTGTCTCAGCCTCCTGAGTAGCTGGGACTACAGGTGCACGCCGCTATGTCTGGCTAATTGTTTTTGTATTTTGTAGAGATGGGGTTTCACCATGTTGCCCAGGCTGGTCTCGAACTCCTGAGCTCAGGCAATCTGCCCACCTCGGCCTCCCAAAGTGCTAGGATTACAGGTGTGAGCCACCGTGTCCGGCCGTCAATTGGGTTTTTGAAGACACATTGATGCAATGGTCTTGCCTGCATGGGACTCATTGCAAAGTCAAATGCTGCATTGTAAGAAGAATCACCTTCAAAACTCCCATTATCGGCAACCATTTCGTAGGTGACAACTCTGTGTTAGGCACCAGCCTACAGGCTGGGGCTATGACCTGCATCTTTCATTCTTCTTCAATGCAAAACATGCTGACAGCTTGCTAATTACAACTTGCATTTTTATATAAGGTGAAATGATCTTTCCATTTATCATGGGACAAATTCCTCAAAGTCAGCTGAGTTATCCATTATGTTTAAGGGGTAGGGCAGAGGTGGGATGGAGGCACCTTATTTATGAGACATACTCAAACCTGTCACCATTCATACCGTTAAAGGATGACACATTTTCAAAGACTTCAATGCAAGAAAGTACCATGACACTAAATAATTAAACCACAATGGACAGTTAATAATCCAGAATCACTTCAATATACCACAGAAATATGTGCCATCTTAGACATGCTAGATACAGTTGATCTCTAATTGAAAGAATGCCAGATAATTCACCTTTGGCTTCATCCATCATGGACAGATATAAACTCATATTTCTTTCTTTCCTTTTTTCTTGTTTCCCTCTATCTTCTCTCTCTCATTCTTTCTCCTTTTCTTGTCTCCTTCTCTCCTTCCCCTTAATGTTTTTTTTTTTTTTTTTTTTTTTTTTTTGAGCATTTACTATGAGCCAGGCACTGTGCTGCGCTCAGAAGGGTCACTGAGTAGTGATCTATTTAGATTTGTAAGCCAGGGATTGTGGCAGGAGTTATAATCAAAGTAAGGACAGAGAAAATAAGGAGAAACTCAGATTGGGAGCTTCCTGGAAGCCTTCCTGGAGGAGGTGATGTTTCTTGCTCTGAAGCCTCAAGAAGGAGTAGGAGACCCCGAGGCAGATAAACAGAGAGTAGGGAGTCCAGGTGCAGTGGCTTACACCTGTAATCCCAGCACTTTTGGAGGCTGAGGTGGGAGGATTGTTTGAGGCCAGGAGTTGAAGACCATTCTGGGCAACAAGGAGAGACCCTGTCTCTACAAAAAAGAAAAACACGTAATTAAAAAAAAAAAAAAAAAAAAAAAAAAAAAAGGAAAAAAAAAAAAAAAAGAAAAGAAAAGAAAAGAAAAGAAAGTCTGTGCATGGTAGCTCATGCCTATAATCCCAGCACTTTGGGAGGCCAAGGCAGGCAGATCACAAGGACAAGAGATCAAAACCAGCCTGGCCAACATGGTGAAACCCCATCTCTACTAAAAATACAAAAAAAAAAAAAAAAATTAGCCAGGTGTGGTGGCAGATGCCTGTAGTCCCAGCTACTCAGGAGGCTGAGGCAGGAGAATCACTTGAACCCAGGAGGTAGAGGTTGCAGTGAGCCGAGATTGTGCCACTGCACTCCAGCCTGGGCAGAGAAGCGAGACCCTGTCTCAAAAACAACAACAACAAAAATTCTGGTGCACCTCTGTAGTCCTAGCTTCTCGGAAGGCTGAGGCAGGAGGACTGCTTGAGCCCAGAAGTTTGAGGCTACGGTGAGCTATGATTGTGCTATTGTATTCCAGCCTGGGCAACAGAGCGAAAACCCATCTCACAAAACAGAACAAAACAAAAAACAAAACAAAACAATAAATGGTAGGGAGAAGGCAGAGGGAAGAAAGGAGTAAGGCCATGGTTCCTGAAGGAATTTGCCCAGTGGTCAGTGTGCCTGGGGTGTGGGGATAGGCATAGGAGCCTGCAGAGTTCGGCAGGGATTAGACCACGAAGGGCTTAAATTGCCAAGCTTCGACATTTGGGCATCATCTTGCAGGAGATGGGGAGACACTGAAGGGTTTTATACAGGAACTGCATGACTGAGCAATTCAGTGCCAGAGGAGAGGTGTTCCAGGAAACAGCCCTGAGTAGAGTTCCTGAAACTGATGCAGACTGACAGCAGCCCTCCCTGCTGATAGCTTCATCCAATGGCCAACGGTGGTGTTTGCTGCTAGTATGGGAGTAGGGAGGCGAGATGGCAACTATCCATGTTGGTGTTTCAGGTGGTCAGAACGAAACAACAGAAACACAAAGAAAGGTATCGAAAGTTTGCTTCCGGGAGGCAGGGATTGTATTTTATTCACCCTAATACCTTCCACCATACCTCTCATAGTTCCTCATGTAAAGTTGCTCCAAGGGGTGGCTTAGGGAGATTTTGATTGCCCCCATAATTTTCATCAGTTTCCCCTATGCTACTCCCAAAACGTCGTCTTCAAATAAAAGCTATCTGCTTGCTTTGCACACATGTCTTCCAGACAAAAGCCCCAGACTCCTCCTATCCCCTGACAGTTTTTAACTAGATTGAAGCCCCTAAACCTTTGCCATATTGAAATTCTGGAGTTGCCACTTTTTTCTTGCACGCAGTAGGTGCTCAATAAATGCTAAGGTATGAAAGAGCCTGCCAGAGAGTCTACTTGACAGCGAAAAGAGTGAGACTGACGTCAACTTTGGACCTATGGTAGGGAAGGACGTCTTTAGCTCTAAGTACCATGAAAACATCGATTGTTCATGAAAGTGCTGGATTAGACTAGTGTGAAACATGGTAGATGGCAGATATATTCCTTAAGCTGACTTCACAGCTGATCCGCTGGTAACAGTAGTTTACAGACAATGCGCATCTTGGCTTTATTCTTTCACTTCAATGACAAAATGCAGTAACAGCATCTTCAAGGGTGTAGATAGCTTTCATTTTAAAACCATACGGCAACTCTTTGTTCTCCATAAAATAGGTTGGAGCGATGTGCTGGGAAAAGCATACTGGCTTGGAAATCAGAAAGCTTTGGCTTGATTCTCAGCTTTGTCACTGTCATGGAAGGTATGTGGTTTTTCTGAAATTTCTTATCTGTGAATCAACCTTAATATTCCTCATCTATGTCATGAGCTCTGGGGATGAGGTGAGGCAGGCAGAAGGTCTGGACTCAAATTCCAGCTTCACCGTCAGCACCTGAGCAAGCTCGGTGAGGTCATTTGAATGTTATGTTGTTATACTCCACTTTCATTTTTGGCATCATCGTCATTACCATCACCATCATCACTATCGTCATCACCATCATCCTTCTTTGGATTTCTGTTTCTGCCAAATGACACCAGATGATTTATGTCAGTGGTTTTCAACTAGGGGCAGTTTTCCTCACAGGTGACATTTGGCAATGTCTGGAAACATATTTTTCCTAACTGGTGGGTACCACGGGTGAGTGGAGGCCAGGGATGCTGTTAAACATACTACAGGGCACAAGACAGCCCCTCACCCCAGAAAAGTATCTAGTCCAAAATGTCAATAGGGCTAAACTTGAGAAACCACGACTTACATAAATGCACATTGCAAACTGTGCGCAACAAAGTATTAAATGCAATTTATCCTGTTGTCCTGAAAATTTAGCAGTGTCTCCGTAAGCTAAGAACAAGACAATAGGTGCAGCGCATTCCCACTTTCCAAAGAGAGATACTTGGCTGTTGATTGCATTTGGATTCTCCAGATGCAGAGATCAAGCAAAGATACGCATGTCTTTTGAAGTCTGGCTTGTCTGGCTTGTCACCAGGCAGCACTGGTGGGCAAATGAGACAAGATGAAGGGAAGGACTCAATGAAGAGTGCATTGATGAGCAGGTTTCACTGTGCATTTTGGGTTCAGTCCTGCAGGAAATTTAGAGATGGTGCAGAACATATCCATTGGGAGAAGGAGCTGGGGTATTTATCCTCCAGTTCCCATCCTTTATTGACTGAGGGCTGCTCCTGGATGTGTTGAGTCCCTAACACTTCTGGCCTGCCCATGTGACCACATGGCATCAGAGAAAGGCTGGAGAAGTGGACAGGGGCTTGCAGTAGGAAGTCATTATGGGCACATGGTGGCAAGTATTGCACAGTTTAGACAGAGTACCGATGGCATCATCTACTACCATTGATGCAGCTCTTACAGTCTGAGCCCTTCTTCCCACCTCTAGCTTATATAAGAGAAGGAGAAGAATGCACTGGGCCATGGAGGAGGCTGGCAGGAAGGACTGTCTTGAGGGGAGCGGTCACTGTGGGGCATAATAGGAGGAAGGGTAGAATGTGTATCACCCTCACATTAAGCTTAGTGAGGAGGGCTTCACGGGAACTCTTCGTGACTTGGCAGGTGTCTTTCTTTTGTGGCTTGGATAACAGTGGCTGGATTTGATGCTCAGTAAGATAAATGATAAAATCAGACTGGGGCTGCGTGCCTGCCTCTGGGCAGAGCAAGGAGAATAAAAATGGGTATTGACAGTGAGCATCCCATCGCTGATGACAGTAGGGATATGATCTATGTTTTCTGGGTCTAGTTGTGAACTTTGCAGGCAGAAGCCAACTATAGGTCTCCTTACAAGTGGCCTCGTACTGAAAGGGTGATAGAACCCCAGCAAAGGGGAAAGTTAAGAGCAGCTGGGCGTAGGAGACTTTCCCACATGAACACCCTGTAAAAGACAAAAAAGTCAGCATT